TGCTGTTCCCCCCCCCAGGGGTGCAGCGGGCCCTGCAGCTGGGGAAGGAGGCTGCCCCTTTGAGGGCCCTGTGGCAGCTCTTGCTCAGGCCCTGAGGGGCACCCTTTGGGGGGGGGGGGGAGCGGAGACCGTGACTGGAGCTGTAGACCTTGCAACAGGGCCTGGGTCAGGAAGGCCTTGGCACCTCTGCTTCTGAGCATCTGGAGAAGGCCCCTGAACTGGCTCCTGTTTCAGCAGTGCTGTTCCCCCCCCCAGGGGTGCAGCGGGCCCTGCAGCTGGGAAAGGAGGCTGCCCCTTTGAGGGCCCTGTGGCAGCTCTTGCTCAGGCCTGGAGAGGCACCCTTGGGAGGGGTGGGGATGCACCCTTGGAGGGCTGTTTGCTCAACCCTGTCCTCCTCTCCTTTCAGATGTGGCCCTGCAGCCCACTTCCTAGCAGGGGACTCGGCGAGACGCCCTGACCCCCCGGCACTTTAGAGCCTGTTCTCAGCCCCATGAGGCACATAAATGCTGAGTCCGGTCTCCCCCACGAGCAAAGCACAGGTGTGAGCCAGGAGCAGCAGCAGCAGGAGGAAGATGAGGAGGAGGAGGAAGAGGAGGAAGAGCAGCAGCAGCAGCAGCAGCAGCATCAACAGCCCTGGCAGCACCACAGCGTCCAGATGGGCTGCACTCCGCCAGAGCTGGGGAGCCAGAAGGTTTACCAGGTCTCCATCTTTTCTTCCCGAGGCAGCGGCTCCCCGCTCCTAGAGCAGAGGGGCCCCAGACGGCAGCCCATCAAGCGGAGTTGCCCGGAGTCCCAGCGGACGGCTGAGGGGGGCAAGTGGGATGCCAAACGGGGCCACTGGGGGAAGGAGGAGGCCGTAGAAGACGGGCTCTTGGTGGACGAGCTGGCCCTGGGGGGCGCCGCTCAGCACTTCTCCCACAGCGGCCTCCGGGTAGTGGAGCACCGACAAGAGGTCAGTCCTGGCCACTGCGGAGGCTGGGAGCCCAGATCTGCAGAGGGCCAAGGGGGGGCCCTGCCGGCGACTCACAGGCTTGGCACCACTTTGCACACAAGAGACTCTGCCCCTGTCTTGTGGGGGCACCAGCCTGCCATGGACTCTAGGCAAGAAGAGAACGGGGGCCAGCTGGAGGAGCAGACCGGCAGCCACCTTTTCCCACACGATCATGATTTGCACAGCTTTGCACCCCAGTCCCCGCCAGGGCGGCTGTCCCTGGAGGCCCACGCACCCAACACTCCACCGGAGGCTCACAGCCTGAGCACCAATGGGCTCTGCTCTGCTGAGAAGACGCCCTGCTCCAGCAGCCAGATTTCTGGAGGCAGCCCTGCCAGCGGCCCAGCCAAGAGGAAGCTGCTGCCCTCAGTGGAAGGGAGGGCAGCTGCTGGCTTGGAGGAAGAGACCCTTCCACCAGCACGCAAAAAGAGGGCCCTGCATTCTCCCACAGTGCCAGCCTCCTGCCGCAGCACCGATGCCAAGGGCGCCCCGTTCTGGAATCACCTGCTTCCCACAGCCAAGGTGAGGAACTATGGGGGGGCACCAGTAGATGATGTCCCCCAAAGAGGTCTGGGCATGGGGAGCTGGGGTTCCCGGCAAGGAACTGCCTTTCTGTGGTCTCAAAGAGGTGCCATTCTGTCTAGCGGAGCCCCAAGCTCAGGTGTTTCCCCCCTGTCCTGCATAAGGACCCTCCCTTAGATCTGCAAGGGGATAGCACAGCATGCTTAGTGGAGGAACCTGGACTTTTCTAGCCTTTGTATAAATACTGCTAGGAGTCACATCAATACAGCCTCTCCTTGCACGAAAGGAAGGTCACCCCGAGCACCGTTTCATCCTGCGCTTTTGCTCTTTCTCACCCTCGGTGTGAGGTGAATTCCTGGAACTCTGCATTGAGAAGGACCCGGCATTCTGCTTCCTCTCCTCTGGCGTGCCGGAGAAGAACTGGCGCTCTGCAGATGCGTAGATGGGTTCTCCTTGCGCCCCCTTCCGTTTATTTGTTTAGTGCACTTCTGTCCCACTGCAATCTAATTAGCAGTTATACGCAGATGTACACATCTACAATTTAAACCTCCAGGATAAAAAAGGAACTTTAAAATAAAATATAGTAGAAAAGCAACAGTAATGGGCGGGTTCTGTTTTAAGCTGATTGTCTCTCTCCCTAACTGCCTTCTGCAGTCTAATTGCAATGGGAGGCCCTTGGGCACTGCCATCAAGAAAGGCACCTCCTGTCCTCAGCCCCTCTCCCCTCCTCATGGTGGGGACCCACGAGCTGCTTCTCCCAGAAAAATTGCGTAGGTCAGGCCGATTCTAGCCAGAGAATATGGCACTGAAGGTAACCTGGTGCCATAGATGGCTTTCTAGGTTAAAAGCAGCCCTTGAAGTTCAAGCCAGAAGCCACTTGGTAGCCAGTGCAGGCCCAATAGCCCAGGGAGACTGCACTCCCGTCCCTGGGTGCGACCGGTGCCCAGGCTGCTGCACTTTGGCCCACATGGCAGTTTTGGGGGGGCAGGGCCAAGGTAGCCTGTTTTCAGCAGCAGCCAAGAGGGCAGTGGAGGCTTTGTCACCAACAGATAGATGTCTGGGTTGTGGTTCCCACTCAAGCAGACCTTCGCAGCTCCCTTTGCCCCGTTCTCAAGCCTGAGGCCACTCCTGTTCTCTGCCCCGGGGAAGTCCTGAGCCTGTGGCTTCCTTGTCCCCCTCCTGAGCCAGTCCTGCTGTGGGAGGAGAACAAGCATTAGATGTCCCAAAGGCTGCCTGTGGCCGGGGATGATGGCTGTTGGGGAAGACAGTCTGACTGAACTGGCCTTCAGCCACAGCAGCCATCCGATGGGCCCTGGACTGGTTCCGGAAGGCAAAAAGCAGGCCGGCTGGGTTGCCAGGGCTGGTGGGCGGGGCCGCTGGAAGCAGGGCTGAGTGAGAATGGCACCCTAGTGCTTGACCGGCTTCCAGGGGGGTGCAGGGGCAGGGCAGCAGGCTGAGCTCCCTGCCTTGCCTCCAAGCGGGGTGATGGAGCTGCCGCTGCTGGGCTGCTCCCAGGAGGAGGGAGCGTCTGCTGTGCAGCGGATCCTGGTTTGGAAGGGGGGCTTGCGTGGAGTGCGGGGTCTGACGTCCCCTTTCGGTCTCACTTGGTCCAGGGCTCAGCAAACAGCAGGACTGGCACGTCTCAGTTGAAAACGGGGCTGCATCACAAACCGTGAGTCGTCTTCTCCCCCCTTTTGATAAAGGGAGCCCACTCAGAGTGAAGCAGGTGGGACAGCCATGGGGCCTGTCCTCAGGGCTTCCAAAGGTTGCAAACGTGGCCAGGGCCAGGAGGGGCTGGAGAACGGCACCCCTAGGGTGATACTTCCCTTCTGCCCCAAGCAGGAGGAGGCAGCTGCGCAGCAGCCCGGGAAGGGCTCTTGTGGGCAGTCGGTCCCCCACCACCTCCACCAGCCACGCCCTTCTGGGGAATTTTGAGGTAACTGAGGTGTCCTTGAGCAGGGCTGGGGGGGCGCAGGTTCTGGATGGCAGCTCTGGGGCCTCCCCTGGATGGCCTGACCTAGCCACCCCCTGCGGGGCCATTAATGTCTTCCCGTGAATGAGAAGCTATGGCGTGGCCGCCTCCTTTCTCCCAGGGCGCAGAGCTGTGGAAGGTGTGGTCTTCCTGTCCTCCTTGGGAAGAGGGAGGGGGCATCCGGGGAAGGCTGGGGTTCCTCCCTGGGCTCTGCCGAGGCACAAGCCAGGTTAAGCTCTCCACCTCCTGCAAACTGCGCCCCCCTCCCTCCCTCCCTCCCGGCAGGAGTCAATGCTGAAGGGGCGCTTCCCGCCCTCTGGCCGGATTGAAGGCTTCACCGCAGAGATTGGGGCCAGCGGATCCTACTGCCCGCAGCACGCCACCCTGCCCGTGGAGGTCACCTACTTCGACATAGCCGAGCACAACGCCCCCTCGCCGTTTCTGGTGGGTGGCTCCTTGGAGGAGCAGTGGGAAGGGGGTCTGTGCTGGGGAGGGAACCCCAAGGCCAGCTGTGCCTTTGCTCTGGGAAGGAAGAACGTGAGCAGGCACGTGGGTGGCATCTGCTTAGAAGCCTTTCGGCTAGCTGCGCAGGGGGCTCTTTGCTTCAGCGGCCTCTACTGCCCCACCAGGGTCTGGGTGGACAGTTAAACAAATGCTGGAGACTTTGATGGGGGGCGCGCTGGGGGCTGGCCCAGGGAAGCCAATCTGCTGTAGGAGCATACTGCTCAAGATGGGCTTCTTCTCTGCCCCCCCCCCCGTTTCCTCACCAAGGGGGTCCCCCACTGGAATTGGTA